GCCAGCAGGAGAACGTTTGATCAGCCAATGTCCCATTTTTAGAAGGCGGTTAGGAAACGTCTCCGGGTTTCGTGGCAGGAAAACCCTTCTACTTGGTAGCAACGTTAACAGATTGCCACTGGTCTGGGATGTTGCCTGAACCCAGCAATTAACCAGCGATAGATTGACAATGGGAGGACTAAAGAGCAATTGATTAGTTCTTAAAGTGGAGCCTTTTTACGGCTGATTCCTGGTTTGCACCTGCAGCTTGTGGTGGCAACCAGAAGTGAAGCTGGAAACTCTTGTGCTGTCATCCCAGGACAGATCCTGCATCCGTGTAGCCCAAGGTTTCTCAACCGTGGCCATTTTAAGACTTGTGGGCTTCAACTCCCAGAATCCCCCAGACAGCAAGCTTCAAAAATACCGGGTTAGCCACTCTTTGCATCTGATGAACGGAGCTGCAGCTCACAAACAGCCTTTGAATAAAATGTAGGCGTTGGAAAAGGGCCACTTTCTGACCATCGACTAACCCAGCTCTCCTTCTGCACTATCACCAAGGCTTGTAGTTTGACTTGAGGCTTTCTTCTTGTTCACTTCTCAGATGTTTCCCTGATGTTTCCCCAGTGCAAAGGTTTGGATGTATTTGTGTACAGTCTATTCAAGTTAACAGGGCTATTAGTACTGGTTTTCCTTCCTTCCTTCCTTCCTTCCTTCCTTCCTTCCTTCCTTCCTTACTTACTTACTTACTTACTTACTTACTTACTTACTTACTTACTTACTTCCTTAAATTTCATTTTAGCTCCACATTTTTTTCAGCTCGCTTTGAAGACTAAAGGCTACTGTTTGGAGCCAACCTTCCATGTGGAGTTATGACTCAGCAGGTATTTTAGAGTGGAAGACTTAATTGTAGGAGGGGTGAGATCTATCGAGCCTGAGTCAGATCTTTGATCTAAAACTCAGTGGTAAGCTTGTTTTGGTCTCGATTTTGAGCATAACTGCATATGTTTTGTGACAGTCTCCTCATAAAACCCACTCTTTTCTTTTTATTGGTCGTGGAGTCTTGTAGCTTGCCTTTTACGTTGCTTGGCAACTGTTGGAAGTTATGATGGGCCCCCCCTTTCATTCCAAAATTCCAATGCCCCCTTCCCCACAGCCGTTTGCAATGTCCCGCAGTAACATAGCTGTGGACGTTCCCCTCCCAAAACAGGCTTTCACTTCTAGTTTTCAAGCAAACATGCCCTGCAGCAAGCAGTGGCTTTGCTTACTGACCACAGCATTCATTTTATGACCACCGCAAATAAAAAAAAGGGGCTTTAAAGTTAGATCAGCCAAATGGGTGACCCGCTTTGCCACTGTAATGGATAGGCTCCATTAGGTCGTAAGTCGAGAACTACCTGTATTTCCTTTCACTGGTGACCTTTTACCACAGACATGCCTGTCAATGGATTAATCTCCCCTTTCTTTTAACCCTTTAATTCAGAACATCTGCCCCTGTCTGGGAAGCTCATTTACAAAGACCGATAAAGCCAATATGGCTGCTGTAGGTATCACCTACAATGGAGCATTCCAGTCCACAATCTTATGCTTTCCTATGCGGTTAACTACCTATACTCTTAAGTTACATCCCTTTAGTGACAAAATCAGCTTCATTTGCAGTAACTAGCATTACAACGTACACTCCCAGTTCTGGAGAGCTCGTGGGACTAAGTTTCAAATTTCAAAGTCAGATTCCAGAATCTCCTTTTATAACTTGTTCAAATCTTTCTTGCTGTTTCGAGACTGAAATGAATTTAATTTTCTTTTCCGCTTGCAATGATCAACAGGTTCATTTCTGGACTGTGTAAATAAATAGCGAATGGTTATCCCAGAGAAACTTGCTTTTAAAGAATTAAGGCTGCTGAAGATCATTAAATAGAACACGGTATTGAATAGTTGGTTATGGGAATGAGGTATCGGAAAACATTAGCAACCACATGCTATCAAATTATTTCTAAACAAAGCATATTGAAGAGCAGGTGAGAACACCTGAGAACAGGTTCCTTACAGATAGAATATCTAAAAGGTTTGTAGAAGTAATCAAATTATCTAACCGGAACATAACGGAACATAGGAAAGCTATACTTGATCCAGCCATGATGCACTCCATATTTCTTTTGTTCCAGATATTATGGAACTATCTCGGAGAAACCCATAAGCATCAAACAAACTCCACAGTATAATAATAGGGTTCATACATCTATATAATTGATAGATTGGAAGCATTCTGCCAATAGAAGTGTTTGTTTTAATACTATGCGACTTTGCACAAAACTCCAAACTCTACTAAGGAGAGAAATGTGCAGGATTCTTATCTCAAAAATGTATTAACTCAATGCTTATTTGAAATACCCAAGATTAGCTAGGGGAAGGGTATGTTCTTTGAGCTTTTCCTGTCTACTTAAAACATTAGAAGAAGAATAGAATAGAATAACAGAGTCGGAAAGCAACTTAGAGATCTTTTAGTCCAACCCCACAGCTGAAGCAGGAGACTTTATACCATTCTGGACAAATAGCCGGCCAGTCTCTACCCACAACTTTTGAAAGCAAGTTGTTCCACTGTTTGATTGTTCTGTCAGGAAATTTCTCCTTAGTTCCTTGGTTGTTGGGGTGGGGGGTGGGGAATTACTGACGATTAGAACAATTAATCAATGGAACGACTTGCTTCTAGAAATTATGGGTGCTTCAAGACTGCAGGTTCTTAACAACCAAGTATTTTCTGTCAGGGACAAACTCAAGATTGGCTAGGAAGTAACACGTTAAGCTATCATGGACTTGAGACCCGATCGTCCTGAAAGATACAGATGTGGGCTGTACAACATCATATACCGATAGAGATGTGACAAACGGAAAATGTCTCCCAAATAATGCTGAGAAGAATTGACACGCAAGCAGATGAATTTGGACCCTTTTTGCTCTTTGACTTTTAATACAAATCAACTCTTTTTGTAGCAATTTTAATTTTAGGGTCGATTTCCCCCAGGTATTCTCTGTAGATGTGTGTTTGTGTGTACGTCTCGCCTCCTGTGTTTATTTCAAACCCGGAATGTGTTTTGGCCATCCAGTTGTCATAGAAACAGTTACATTCCTTTCCACGTTCTCAAATAAAAACCCACTGAAATTAAAGTCTACCTCAAGATCTTTTGGTCTGGTTGGAGATGTCAGGCTAAGGTGGACGTGGCTGCTGGGTGTGAATGCAGAAAAAGGGGGCTTATTTCTACAAAGGACTAATGATCTTCCAACAATGGAGAAAATGTAAGGACAATCATGATTAATGCTTCCTTGTTGAGGGGTAAAATATCTTAGATGAATTTTCTTGGGTTATGGTTCTTGAGCCAAAGGTCTGTTGAAATCTTTGTGTTGACTTGATTGAGCTCCGTTTAGATGTGAGTTTCGGATACATTTGCAATACGATGGATATGAATTGTTGGACCTGTAGATATCTTAGCCTCAAACCTTACTGATAGGAAGTCCTCTTTGGCTTCTACCTGTGGTTCTTAGAATGCACCTGCAGCGGCTCATGTATCACATTACTTATAAATGGAGTATAACGATTATCGACCAGAATCCAGTTCCTATAACAATCTTATCCCAAAATGGTGCAAAACCCTGAATCTGCTTTGGTTTATAGCATTGATGTGAGGATTCCTCACCCCCCCTTTCAGATCTTTCATTATTCTGATTTAATCTTTTATTGATCTTTATTCTGTCTTTTCTCTTTTTCGACTCCCCTGAGGAATTTTTCCAGGCTGAAATATGGCGTGTATTTAAAATAAAGCTTGGTGGGCTTTGGGGCTTGATTTTTTATTTTTTATTTTTTTTAAAAAAAACCCTTTTCTCCAGCTGCATACATTGAAATTCTGAAGAGCCCAAAGATCACACGGTGTGTGTTTTGGACCTAAGGCAATGCAGGACTTTTGCATGTCAAATAGCGATGCTTGCGTGACTGAACGAGATGATATCGCAACGGAAGGAGTGTTTCTTTTCAAGGAAAAAGTGATTGCGTGGGTCGAAAGATCTCAGCCATTTGGGGAAGGAGTGGGGAATTATTCTGATTCCAGATCCCTATTTGGATAGAGGGGGTATGTATCCGAAATGCCATTCGATGACGTCTGCCTCAAGGAGCCTACGATCTGTTTGTACCTCTTTTTAAATCTGGATTCTCCCCCTTCCTTCAGAGAAGGAAATTTGGTCCTGCAAAAAGGGAACTCTCTTCAAGTTACACTCCCCACCTGCAGCTGAGCCCGGTCTGAAAAAGACTCATTTAAAAAAAAAAAAAAAAAGCTACAAGGCTGGTATTAAAATAGCTTTAGGGCATGCTTTGAAAATCTGGTGAAATGACATTTTTTTAATTGAATGTGATCTCTGCTCTGAACAGCCTGAGAGGGCTCTTAACCCTGATCTTGACTTCCATTTGTACAAAGTTCCTGAATAGAATATTGGTTGTTTCTTGATGGATGCTAAAAGCCCACTCCCCAAACCTCTTACCCACCCCACCCAACCTTTGATCCTAGCGACATCATCTTCCAGGAGGGAGAACATGAAAATGGGGGCCACAATTGTGCCTCTGTGCATTGTCACGGTGTGTGTGTGTGTGTGTGTGTGTGTGTGTGTTTCCCAGCTGACACGCCTCGTCGGCAATTGGCTTAAAGAACGAGCCTCTTCTCCGAGGTCTGTCATCTCTCGCCATCTCACCTGAGTCCGCAGTCCTGGAACTGTAATAAGACCATGATCATGTGAGGGAGGGGAGGGAGAGGGAGGGAGAGAGAGAGATGGAGGGGAGGGGAGAGGAGGGGAGGGAGAGGCCGGAGCGATGGCGAGACATGTTCTTCCCATGCATTTTGACAGCGCCGCTTTCGGGAGCGATGCTCCTGCTTCTGTTGGACGCTAGGAAAAGCCCCGATCCAGACGCCGGCGGCCCTCTCTGTGGAGAGGCCACGAGATTAACATGCTCCTGCTTTACACCTTTTTAATATCCTTCTCAGAATCAATCTACCGGCGGGGCGCCAGAAGATGGAGGAAGCTGTACCGAGTGAATGGGCATCTGTTTCAAGCCAAGCGCTTTAACAGAGTGAGTACTGTGGCCGAAAGAGACGCCGCCAGAAGCGGGTGGAGGGAAGGGAGTCCATGGTGGGTGGAGGGGTAACGGGGGGGGGGGGGGGGGAAGAAGAGGGAAAGCCAGGGGCTGCTTTTCCTGCCAGGTAGATCCTGGGGGTGAAAAAAAAAAAAGAAAGAATCAATTCAGCTTAGGCTGCAAACAGCGGTTGAATAATCAGCTTTCAGTCCTGTGTTTTGGAGAGAGAAAAATCCTTGAGCTTGATTTCTTCTCCCCCAAATGTGTTTGCGGATATCTACTCTCTCGATCCGTGTGGATTTTCTTTCCCGTTTTCCTGCCCCCCCGCCCGATTATTGTTTCTCTGGATTAGCCTCAAGATGCTCTTTCAATGCACGGGGGAGCTAAATAGATGTGACCTAATTAATGACACCATAAATATTTCTATGTGTGTGTCGGAGACACAGCTGTGTTAAACGTCTGACTTCATCTGTGAAGCAAAGCTTTCACCCCCCCCCCCACCTTCCCCTTCTTAACCCAGCCCTTTAATGCTGCAGAATGTAATCAGTATCTAATCCATATATATATTTGGGGGTAAAGGTTTGTGCGTTTCGATAAATGGTCGGACGTAAGGTTTATTTAACCGTCAGGATGATATGGCTGTCACTACTTCTTGCTACAAGAAGAGGCTGGTGTGCTGGCGTGGGTCCTCTCACACAAACACACACTTGTTATCTCTGATGCAAGTCTCCATCCATTGAAGGGCTTCAGAGCAAAATTAGATTATATTTTTTTTAATGGCGGACTCATATTTTTAATCTCATTCCTGGTGATTGAAATCTTTCCTGATTCAGGTCTTGATATAGAAAGCTGGATCGTGTTCAGGTCCCTGAGGGTTGTCGTATGTGAATATGCCTTTATTTTAATATTAAAATTGTATTTTAGGAAGCAATTGAGGCAGAAGGTTTGACTCACCAATCTTTGATAAGTCATAAAGCTGGATCTGGGTAGTGTCGATTTTGTTAAAACACCTGGATTTTAACAATGTTTTCAACAGGGATCTAATTAAAGCGGTCGAGAAAAAGCTATTCCTGATTTATTCTGAAATATATTTATTATAGCTGTTGTTATTCCTTAGGTGCAAATGTCAAATTTTTTCCTTTTAAAAATGTTCTCCATTTTGCAAACCTCTCCTGCATCTATATCAGACTACTAGTCACAAAGATATCTAAAAATGGGTTTCTTTCATAATATCGGTTGGCTTACAAATGCAGCTAATTATGTGTGCCTAAGGAAAATAGTCTTAGAAGTCTAGTGCATTCAGTCAAGCATTAATCCAACTGGGAGAAGTCAAACTTCGCATCTCAGAAAAACAAACGTTTCTGTATCATAAGTTACAAATATTTCCCCCTGCAGAACAAATACATAACCTGTGGGCTCATCTACCTATTCATTTTAATAAGCCCCATGCAGGGCACATTCTATTCCAAGATCTGCTATAGTAGCAATTAAGGAATTAAATCGGCATCACAACAGGGCCATAATTAAATTTAATCTTAAGAAAGATTGGGCCTCTACAGCATGCTTACATCATGTATGTTTGTTTATACCTGTCTACATCTGGCAGCTAAGGTCTCCTGTTTCAGTCTGTTCTTCTCTGTTTTATCCGCTTTATAGTATTTTTTTAAAGGGAAAAAACACTGCTTTTCCATTGAAAACAAGACTTTGAAAAGAATACAAATGGATTACTTCGTTGCAGGGAGAATCTCATAATACTTTAACAAGGCTAAAAATTCTTCAGACTGAAATATTACTCTGAAGTTATTGGCGGGTGTTGCAAATAATTTTTTTGGTGGTGGTGGTGGGGGCGAGTGGTTCACAATTTTTAAAAGAAGCAAATAAGTTTGTAGGGGCAGAGTAGATAAAGCTCGATCTAGGTCAGGCTGCTCTCGTATATTTTAATTCCCCTCCTCCCCAATAATATGGAAATGTAAACATCATCATTGGAAGTCTGTGGCGTGTTTTATTTTCCTCCCATTGATAACTTCCGTTATCAATGGAAGGGAAGTCTGCAAAATTCTGCATTAGGTACGACATTCCCTATGGCACGTTCATTTCATTGATTAGATAAATAAATTCGATTGCCTCCCATCTCCATATCAAAGCTCCTCCTCAGGTGGCAAAATCAAAGCATTGCAAAATCAAGTCTCTTCTAGTGATGGACATTTGACTTTGCCTTCAAAAGCGCCCCGGACCCCTGATCATTTGGGCATGTTTTCATTTTTTTAAAAAAAAATATTTTTTTTTCAGTGAAAGCCCTTGGGTAGCTTTTCACGATCCAATGTCTTGATGCAGAACCGCTTTCTGCAAAGCCTGGGCGATTTCAGTGGGCTGCCACAGCTGGCGTGGCCCAGGCCACGTGTGGAGCAGCTGTCACGTAAACGGCTTGCTGGAAACACTTGCTCCTACTCAGTTCCATTTCAAGTGGCTTCCCACGCACCGGCATGGGGGAATGTGTGAACTGGGCCATAGTAACTTGTGCGAAGAGGTTGAGGGTTACTCAGCCAGGCGCTTCTGTTCCTTTGATTGCTCTCGCCGCCAGAAAATTAAGCGTTTTTCTTTTTTTTCCCCAAAGGCACAAAAACACTTTTTATGCTGGGGAGCTTAGCTACATTTTGGACAATGGCCTCGATTATGTATAATTTTCCATTCTGTCAATTGCCTTTCTTCATTCTCATCTTGAAGGGCTTCAAAAGTAATGAAATTTGGGATATTGTAAAACTTCTTGATCCACATAGGAAAGCATCAGCCTCCTAAAGCTGAAATTCTTGATAATCTACCTGTCATTTTACTGGAGCAAAATCACTGAGAACCGTTAACATTTTGTTTGATAAAAAGAGCCAGGAAAGTCCTGATCCCATTAGGGATCCTGATCCCATCCCTTCATAGCTTAAGATGGATTCATCGGCACATAGTTCAGTTAAAATTCAGCAAGAATTACAGTATTCATTCATGGGCCTTTATTTCTTTGCCTGCAGTTTAAGCATTGGGTTTATAAATCCAAAGTCACGGTGTATAGTGCAATCTGACTGGAACTTCATAAAAATGGATGTAAAATGAAGCTAGATTCACCAGGGAAAAATTGGAAGCGGAGTCAAATTTGGGTCCAGTCGATTTGAACACTACTCCCTTTCAAAGTTAGTTACAATGGAGAAAGCAACGACAAAGCAAAGTAGGATGACTCCACTGACAAATTAAAAAAAAGAGGTTTGGTCTTGAGGTGGTGGTAGGGAGAAGAATTGGAAAAAAAATAATAATTAAAATTTCACTTTCCAGAACAGTACAAAAAAATCGCTGCGAGGTAAAAGTAATCTTGTTACATCCCCCGTGAGAAATTGCTGGATTTGAATTGGGAAAACATTTCAAAAACTTTGCAAGATTTGTCTGTCAGAGAAATGGGGGTGTTGTTTATTTATTTTCCTTAATGCTTTCCTCTAGTTTAGGATAAAAGATTATTATCACCAAACTTTTAGCCACAGGTTTACCTATTGATCTGGGATTATATCTAAGCAAGAAAGCAACCCAGCTCAGGGAGCAGCCAGGGCTCCGCAGATCATAACTAAATAAAAGTTTGCCTTTATATCTAGATCATAGCAGCTTACTTTCCATAATCTTTTATTTCCAGGCCATTCCGTGTGACTATTTTAAAGGACAAGAATGTTTTGCTGTAAAACCAAAAGCTGTTACATTGAATTATGTCAGTTAGTGTAGCCTAGTTCTATAGCCAGGTTCCCTTGAAATCCATGCCCAGGAAATGATTAGAAGAAAATAAAATTTAACTCTTATGAGCATTAGTTTATGCCAGCCAGCCTGTTTGGATTGGCTGTTTCTGAAATGCTTGTCTGATGGAAAGCCTCTTTCTGTTTTTTGTTGTTATTGTTATATTTCCAGAAAGAAGCTTTCCAGCAGACAAACATTTCAGAAAAAGCCTATCCAAAGTAGATGTATTTCTGATTGCACGACTCTGGAAAAACGTGTTAATGTTTTGGTTCCCAAAAAGCAACGGGCAGTTTAAGCTTGAGGGATGATTTAAAAAAAAGTTTGTTCCCTTGTTTGAAAAACAAAGAACTGAGGGTGCCATTTTTCCATGCCTTGGTAAAGACAAACACTGGGCAATTCAACTTTTCTTTGAGATTGTGTGGTATTTTGTTCTTGCCTCGTAACAAGTTGACTTGGGTTTGAAAGTATCTGCTCAGTTCTACGAGTGCAAACTGAGCCAATAAAAAGATGAGAGACGGTTGGTTTTCCCAAACTCCTTTAAAAAAATAATAATAATTCCGGGATTAATGAGTGTATGTTTTTCTGGCCCTAAGATCCCTCCACCTAGTCCTGAGCTCCCTTTAAGATCTCTTGCCTTATAAAGGGCTCCTGCTAAGTTAAAAAAGACTAATCAGATCCTTTTGATTCTTAGAGCACCTCAGTGGGAATTCTTCTTATGATGTGCAAGAATCTGTTTGCCTTTTTTAAAAAAAAACAAATTTAGCTCTAGTTTGCAAAACTGTAGCTTTCAGTTAGGATGTGAAAGCAACCATTGCCAAAGTAAGTGTCACTGCCCTTCTCAAGAGCTTGTAACATCTATCATGACTTCCCAGAGGGGATAGCTGTGCGAGTCTACACAACCTGAAAAAGGGGTCATCTTTTCTTCTTATTCTTATTCTTATTCTTTTCCCTCAGTACATATTCTTACAAATTAAACCAAGGGATGTTTTCATAGAGCGGCTCAAAAGCCAGTGTCTATGTGGGAGGAGGGGAAATGCTTTTTATATCGATTGATTTACCGGGGTCTGTTTGCTATTCCTATCCAGCAGGATGTTAAGGGACAGACCAAAGTGGAAATGACATTCTCTGCTTCAAAAGCTAATCACCCTCTTCATAGTCCCCTAGCACACTTCTGTCAAGAGGCACATTTTTCTTCAGCCTCTCACAGTCTTAACAGTGGAAAGGCATGTTACTTCGACCAGTGACCTGAAAAAAATCAACAATAACAACAACAAAAACACCCATCTCCCCTTTCAGGGGAACTAAAAGGTTCTCCTTGATTACAATTTGATCTAACGCACGTCTTCATTCTCAGGATGACCTCTTCCTTTCCTTTCCCATTGCAAATTCTGTCCCTTGCCTTTTACATTTGCTTGGCAGGGCAGGTTTCTGTTGGCTAACGCAGGAACATGTTAAGAGTTTTTCTATCTGTGGGCTTGGCAGAGGGAAATAGATGAGCTCCTTCCCTCGCTATAAACAACTCTGGCTTTGGTGCGTGCAAACTTAGTTTTGGCCCATCGAAGAATTCATTTTTATTTACCGTTTTCCAGCTGGCATTGCAAATTTTACACAAAACAGATATAAATGCTAGCTAACCAAAATTAAAAGGAGTCCAGAGTCACTTGGCTCTGCTGGATGGCTATAAAAGAAAATGAATGAATGAAGGATGGATGGAAGGAAGGAAGGAAGGAAAGGAAAGGAAAGGAAAGGAAAGGAAAGGAAAGGAAAGGAAAGGAAAGGAAAGGAA